ATCGCACATTCAAAACAGCATCTCGGATAGATTCGGTGCTGTCAAATTCACCACTAAATGGGCTAAAATCCATATTTTGGATTCAATCTTTATTCCAACAATCAAAATACCATCTAACCATGTTTATATTATTGTTTACAAGATCAATACTCAAGAATTTCACCAAAATAGSCATTAATGAAGAAAATCAAAGTTCAACTTATCTTCTTCATTTTCGAAAGCTCCAAATCATCAATCAAGCATCATAACAACTTAGTCATCTGCTGTTGCAATGCATACATACATACCCCTGTATGCACATACATACCCATGTGTTAGAGGACATTATATCTGACAACAATAACTTAACCGAGCTTAATTTAAACTCATTTTAGTTACTATAATTCACAGCTCAAAATCAAYTTTTTATYAGTTTTWAGACSCAAATATAACCAACCTAGAAGCCTTATTTCTAAAAAGTGTCTAAAGGACAGGTTTAGAGCTACATATAAGCTTTCTAAAATGTCCAGAATCGTAGCAATCCGAGCTACGGTTAAAACGTTATCGCACATTCAAAACAGCATCTCGGATAGATTCGGTGCCGTCAAATTCACCACTAAATAGGCTAAAATCCATATTTTGGATTCAATCTTTATTACAACAATCAAAATACCATCTAATCATGTTTATATTATTGTTTACAAGATCAATACTCAAGAATTTCACCAAAATAGCCATTAATGAAGAAAATCAAAGTTCAACCTATGTTCTTCATTTTCGAAAGCTCCAAATCATCAATCAAGCATCATAACAACTTAGTCATCTGCTGTTGCAATGCATAMATACATACCCCTGTGTGCACATACTCGGGTAAGTGTTTGGTAAACGGCCCCTTAAACATTTGACATTGGTTGTGCATCCTAATGTAATATAGTTATCTTCTTTATGGACAGGCTGGTTTGGTAAGAGAGAAGGCATTTGGTACCACAAAAGATCGGATGCTTCATATTGAGCTTTGTGCAAATTCAAGGGCTGTGACTGTATTTATTCGTGGRGGTAAGATATCATTCATGTTGCTTTTGATAGTTACGAGTATTTCTTTTTTACTTAGCATTATGGAGACAACAGTTTTTTCTTATTCATATCTAATTGTTCTCACAACATCATGGARCACTCTGGGAGTTTTCATGCTTCTTTATGGTATTGAGTGCTTATGTTATAAAATATAWAGTTTTAGGTAAAAAAATCATAGTTTTTTCTACGTGGCACAAGATGCAACCACTAAGGATTTCATACCATAAACCTCGTTAAGCTACAAATAAACACTAAACAGCCTCTAAGCACGTTCCATTGTAAGRATTAAAGAAGTTGAAATTTGTTGGTTTGCAGATGATAGCATTCATCCAGAGCATCATGATCAYGGCACCCCCATCTCCTTCTTCCCTTCCTGTTTTAGAACAAAAAATCGACGATTGTGCATAACCAGAACAGTATCAGCATAAGCTAAAAGTGTTCATTTTGTTTCCGTCTTTTTTGCCGCATTGCTGGTGTATTTACCATTCAAGTCTCCCTTTGATTTTGTACATATTTTAAGCCTCTCCAAATTCGACTGTTGCACTTGTATATTGTAGAAATGTGCACTTTGATATTGTAGCGAAGGTAGATATATGAAACAAAADATTTATCGTGACGACATGCACACTAACCGAAACTGAATAATTAAACCGAAGAAGTGATCAAACAATAGCGTGTTTTTGGTTACTCAAACTGAAAAAGCTTTGTTTTTTTTTACTTCGGTTTTTGTTCGTTGTTAAGGCGGACGTGTCGACTTTTTTTCTATCTATGGTTTTCAGTTTTCCGAATTAAAGTTTGATTGGTAAGTTGGCATGAAGCTGTATAAAAACATGGTTTCTTGGTTGACAAGGTAACCAAACTAAAAAACCGACTTGTGAGTTGATCGATCTATCTTTTGAGTTTGAGAAAATGACTGAACCAATATATTTACTTATTCTGATTGAATGAAGTTTATTGATTATCTCCATTAACCGATTTTTTAAGGCATTTACAACCGTACCAAAAGAACACTATTTTGCTGGCTTGAAAGCTTCACTTGACAGGTAAAAAAGAATGAAAAAATATCGTATACAAAAGAGAAACAACATATATGTGGTGTTGATGTTGTTGGAGTTTACTTTTAGGTGGTTCTCTTCACTCATATATCATATTATGAATATAGAATATAGAGTAAGGTTCTAAGGAAATACCAAAAAATGAAAAAGTGAGGAATGTTTTAATAACCATATTTATACTATCTTATAAACCAGATTTATCAAAAGTTTTAAAAACAATTTTTAATGCAAAAAGTCTTAAAAGTCTTAAAAACAKCTCATAATGCATTAAGTACTATTACTTTATGCATTCAGTCTTAAAAATCTCATAATCTACAATTAAAATAACATATAGTATAAGTTACCAACGCAAATTAGTACTTTTTCTTTTCATATTTCCAAAATACTTTTGACATCTTTCACTCATGTCTTCACCGTTTCATACATGTATGTCTTCTCCCCATCTCCCAATGTGTGATTCAAATTGGTATTAACCATGAGTTATCAAAAGTTCTTTCATTCATTTCYCATTCAATTGCTTTAGAACTCTCGCTCTCGATCTCTTGATTCTTTGCTCTTGGTGTAAATAGAACATATTTGTAGAGTCGTTTAAATATGTTGGATTTTAAATATATTATATTTTTTTCATCGAYAGACTGTAATTGGAACCATAACTTTTATTTATTCAAATTGTATTAATATGTAAAGACCAAGTGTAACTTATATCATTGTTAAATCTTCTCAAATAAAACCAGTGGAACTTCAAAATCATTAAAATTCACGGCTCCCGCCRCATTGCGCGGGTACACAACTAGTATATATATATATGTGTATGCATGATTTATATGCATGAAATAGGTGTGAATCAATGAACATATATGCATGGTGTATGTATGCATGCATGTGGGGGGAAGGCTTTAGTAGCCGACTTTCCCTAAAAGGAAAGGAATAAAAAGGAGGGTGAGGTCTCCTTTACTCTTCTTCTTTCAATATTTGAGACCTCAACTGAGCGATTTAAGTGAAATTATTGACTGGATTGTTCTTGACTGAAATTCAAGTTGGTTCTCAAGTGATTGGTTTTCAAAAGGAATTTAAGGTGAGTGGTTAAATGCTTTCAGAACACTTTAAATTATATGTTTAATTGAGTTTTGAAATGTTTACTTGACAATTGATAATTTTGACCGGATTATGTTAGATCGGATGTGTTGTCCGGACTAGAATAAACCGGACAAGGGTTGAGCGATTTAAACATAAACTGGACATAGTCTCAACCGGTTTAAGGGTAATCCGACTAATGTGTTAACCGGTTTAGGTGTTGAGCAATTTATGAACTTTGAAATTATGATTAAGTGTTTTTAACAGAGAAGTAGGAATACGACCAAAGAGGTGACCAGTTTAATTATATATCGATCAAGATCAGATGTTATGTTGACTGGTTTAGTGGTAAATCGGACAAAGCATTGGGCGATATGGTGTCCGGATTAGTAATCCGGACAAAATGAATAGTGTTGTCCGGATTTGGTAAACCGGCCAAGGCTTGACTGGAGATGAAGTCCGGCCAAGTCTATGTTGACCGGATTTGCACTTTGACTTATCTAATGTTTATATAAATTGTTTTTTTTTATCATTTTCTATATAAAATGGGAAATTTTGATAAGGATGATTTTGAACTGATAATATTCCAGTGGAACATTAATGACTACGGTCTGTTCTATATGGAATTGTTTTGCGAAATATTTTGATGAGGAAATAAGGGTGGCATATCATGGAGAGATGTACCATGGGATAATGGTGGCATATCAAGGAGAGGTGTACCATGGGATATAAGAGTGGCATTTATATGTGTGTTATATGATATAACTCTTACTATTATATCCTTTAAAGAATAAAATGGTCTAGATTCTTTATTTCTTTGTGATTTAAAGGTTTAGGATCAGGGTTCTTATTGGAAATTATAGTCTGGATGTTATTGAGGAGGAAATAACAGGTTTGTCCTAGAACTTTGAATAAACCTTGTGGCACTATGATAAACCTGGTTAGTACAAACCTAATTGGGTTTTGATGTATTATTTGCAAGCATAGAGTTAGGCTTGAAAAGTGAAAAGGTACTGGTAATATGTTCTTATGTGTTCATATATTTGTTATATATATGAAAATATGTTTTGCATAAAAGTTTTGGTGATATTCACCCTCCAATAACATAAAAAGGGAAAAACTCATTAGACCCTTCGGTGTAACCCTCATTTTGTGATTTTAAATATGTATTGCAGGTGGTTGAGACAATAAAGGGAAAGGAAAATTGTGATATTTTTCTAGATGCATATTTGGTAGAAGATTTGGCTATGATATGTATAGTTTTGTTAGTTAAACATGAAATAGTGCAAGAACTGTATTTTGAATTTTTGGACCATGTATTCTGTAATGGTACCTAGACTTAAACTATTTTATTGCATGTTAAGGGTCCCGGACATAGTAAGCACTGTTGGAAATAAATATGATGAGTTGAAAGAACATTGTGTAAGGTAAATTTTAATTACATCTGGCTAGTGTAATTATGAATTTACAGGTACATATCTGAACTTCAATACTCCATTGTATTTGAGAATGTGAATACATGATTATTAACACAAAATCTGAAGATGTCTAGCTGAACTTGGAGATCTGAAAGAACGGCCCATCTAGAGTCTGAGAAAAGGGAGGAATCACTTCCTAATCTTCTGACAAGCACTCTTGAAATAGAGGTCGGGGAGGACCCAGGGGACGAGGCAGAGGAAGAAGTCAGTCACAAGGAAGGGGTCGGACTGAAGTACATTCTGAACACGAAGAATCCCATTCCGAGTATGTTCAAGAGAGATCAGTGCCACACCCAGAATAAGTAACCTGTTAAGTCCAAATTTCATACAAATGTGATATCAATCTTCAAGAACACGATGAATGTAAGAATAGAAAGAATAGATCACCAAATGTAATTTCCTTGATTGAGAGAGAGAATTACAGCTCTAAATCTGATTACAATCTGCTAATGACTTGATCATGACAATTACAAAGGAAAATACTATTTATACTAAGGAAGTAATGAAACTATACTACTACAAAAACATGTAAGATATGGAGAAACTTGAATACAACAATAATGCTCATACTCAAACCCAACATTCTCCCCCTTTGGATTTAAGTTGGGACTCTTGAAAATTTTGTCTTTCTAAGTCCAAGAATTTTCTCTAACCTCCTTAGAGCGTTCCTGTACTGAATCTTATCCTCGAGGAGATTTATAGCATTTACCAAAAGATATCTTTCTTTAGAACACATTTTTTCTGAATCTGCAGCTCTGTCGTTGTTCACCCCTTTCAAATCAAGCGCTCGTCTTACCAACCCTATTGTACCATCTGAATACTTATTCAGCTCACTGAATCTCATAAATTTCTTCACTTGAAGCTGAGCAAAATATATGACTCCGAACTCTGGCTTTTCAAGAATCATATAAACAGGATAAGCATCAATATCTTCTAAGTCTTGATTAGGTCTTTTCAGGTTGATGATTCTTTGATTGTCTTCGAGACCCATTTGAACATCTATGACCATAGCCAGATTTACATGACACCGCATAAATCTTTTAATAGCATCAAGAGCAATCAGAGCTCCCTCCTTCCTGTTAGTCATGTTTCTGATCTCAAAATACATATACTCTAAATCTTCCAAATATAAGATTGAAAAATCAGCTTCACTGAATCTCCAGATTTGTCCATCTTGTCTAGTCACAGTTAGACAGGATACCAGATTCTCAGAAGTCTTTGAGCATCGATCTGCTTAATTGTGACAACCCGATGCTTGGTATGAACATCACTAATAGTTAGGCGCTTAGCTTACAAAAGGTGTTTGTATTATATACGATAATCTTTGGTTTGTCGATGGATACCAAGGACTTTATCACCGCTCAGAGCCTTACAATGTAGAATAAAAGTTCCAAAGTAGATATCTTCTAAGTACGGTTGTCGGATCCTTTCTCTATCGTGACCTGGAAAATTTGCTCGAATAAGAAATGGTACATAATTCTTTGTGAAAATTTATGTAGGATCAACATTCTCTAGGAGCAGAGATGTCTGATACACCAATTACATCTGCAGTGGAAGATTCTGGAATAATTTGACGGTCATCTTGAAGAGGAAAAACTGGATCTTCATCATTTATATCGGCTTCAAAGTCAAAGTAAAGCCTAGTTGACTCGTCAATATTATCCATGTCCTTTCCAAAATCTTGCTCTCCACCCAGAATAGTAGAAAATACATCATTGAAACTTACATTGGCAGACAAGTCCAATAACAACCTTGTTCTTACTGTGGAGTCCGCTGACTTTTCAACCATTGGCTCAATCATAGGACTTGTCTCCATTTCTTCTTCATCTTCTTTAACAATAGCCTCAATTATTCTTTCCCGAACAGACTCCGGGGCAGAAGCTTCAGCAATCACGTCTTGAGCAGATGGCTCATTTTCAACCCTTCTAGCTTGTTCAGATGTCTCAGCCAATCTCTGTCTCTTCCTC